ATGTAACAAAGTAATTAAATACAGTACTTGGGAATATAATTGGCTTTAATGATTTAAAAAAGAATAATACATTAGAGCATGGCACGAAATTGTCACTAAAATGGCACTAAAAGTGTCACATTTGAAAACTAGATGAAAAGCATTTGGAGGACAGACAGCTCAAGTAAAATGATAAATTCAACTACTGTACTCTGTAAAAATTTACATCCAACAGAATACACCAAGTTCTCACCAATACGTTGTTTTTAAAATCAAGCCATAGTTGTCAAGCTTCGCTTTCAACTTGTCAGGCGCCATCTTCTTGCCAGCATCAATAACTTCTGGGGGATACGTTTGTCCTGGTGGGGTCAGGAAGCACGCCTGAGCTAAAGCCTGTTAACAATGACAAATATTAGAGATGAGCATTCCAATCATTTTATAATACATTATCTGAAATATCTCAGTATGTACCATTTATGTATTATTTTATGAAATTTCAAAACACTGCAGATCAAGTGTAGTTTTTTCAAATCAAATCAGGACAAAAATCAGTAAAAAAAAAAACCAGCATTGAATGTAATGAAATGCCATTTTCTGGGTAAGCCCCGGAGGCTCCTTGGAGCTATCAGGCTAATATGCAATTCATTAGAACAGGGCATTAGTCATAGGGGTTCAGCCTACTGGGGACCACGAGCCAGAACCTGGCCTGCTCAGAGAGGCACAGAAAGCAATGGCCCTGGAACCCCCCCCATTGGTTGAGGGGTTTTCCTTATCAGCCATCAACTAGGGCTAGCTATCCAGAAGGGTAAGCATAACAAAACAGACCCCACATGGTAAGATAATTGCAACTGAAAACCGAACAGAGAGGCAGAACTCCCTCAAATCCCAAGGAAACAAGCAAGCGTCCCACATCACCGCCGTGTCGGTCGTCCACAGAGCCCACCCCACCCCCTCCTCCCCGGAGGGAAAAAGGGAAGCCAAGGACCACCTATGCTGGCAACCCAGCCATTCCAATTCGGAGATTAAGTATCAAAACAATGCAAAAACAGGCAACCGGAGTGAGGGAGGGTGCCAGGGAACTGCCGGGGCTCACCCAGAAAATGGTATTTCATTACAATCAAATCTGGTTTTCTGTGGGGAGCCCCTTTAGTTATGTAGCTCCAGAAAGCCAAAGATAAGGAAAATAGGGACTTACCTGGGAGGCGACAGCCACACGCTCCTCAACTCGAAGGCGAGACAACTGGCAACAACCTGAGACCCAAAGCCACACACGAACGCCCAGGACCAGGAATGTTGAATCAATAACGGGCGCCCAGGACCCTATTCGACCTTCAAAATCCGCATGCCTGAATATCAGCATACGACATGCTTTGGCTGCCGAAGACAGCAGCCAAAGCAACAAATTTATGAACGTCATGGGCACGAGGATAAACCGCAGGCTGGCTAGACTTAATAACCCTGCGGACGACCTGGAAGACGCGATCCTTGGAACAGGGAACGAGGGAAACAGGATCAACCCAAAGTGCATCGCCAGCCACAGAAGCCGAGGCGTGCGGGTAACGACGAAGAGCCGCAACCGGACACAACACGTGATGCACCCCCGGCGTGACTAAGCATCAATGACCTAAGGACCCCTCCAGAAAGCAGCTGTTTCGGTCTTTGCCAGAAAAGAAGGAGAAGGCTGCAACCGAACAAACTGACTACCAGGACCAAAGGAGCAGAAACCCCTGCGGCAGAGGAGAGCACAAAGCTCACCAACCCAACCCCCAGAGGCCAATGCCAACAGAAAGAGAGCCTTGGAAAAACATTCTTGAACCGAAGGGGCAACCACAAGCTGATGAGAAGAGAGATAGGAGAGCACCCTGTCCAAGGACCAAGACGGCTTATGCAGCGCATGAGCAGGCCGGAGGTGAAGCAAAGCACAAGAGAGCTTACAGAATGGTGCAGAAGTGACATCCACCCCAAACACAAGCTGGAGCGGCTTCGTCAGCACCACACAATATGAGGCAACAGTATTTGGCATCAAATGACAGTCCTGAAAAAAACCAGCATTGAATAGAGAAACCAGAAGAGATGTGCAAGAATGACTGAGCAGATATAGAATATGTGACAAGAGGTGCAAGAATGACAGCGGATATGGAATACATGTGATGAGGTGCAAGAATGAATGAGCAGATATGGAATTCGTGTGACAAGAGGTGCAAGAATGACTGAGCAAGAAATATGATATACATGTCCAAAGTGCTTAAAGAAAACACTGCATGACCTACAATTTGAAAAAAACAGGGAAAGACTCCCACCAAAAATATATACAGTGAAAAGCTGCATCCTGAAACTTTTCCAAAATACTATACAGTACTATCATATGTACACTAACATTTCCAATACTTATAAATGCCTAAAATTACACTTAGCACAAAATAATACAATACTAATGATTTCTGGTAAAATACTTTATTAACACTAACCTGAAGTACAGACTGCTCTGCCAACCCAATGCGCAGCTTTCCACTAAGGGAGCGAATAAGATACCTGGCTTCAGACAACCGGCAAGCCACAAACATTCCTTTTATTTTGTCTATTTTCTTACTTTGTGACTGAAAAGATACAAATTAAGGACAAAGCATGAGAAAATGTTAGTAAAAAATATTTAAAGATACCTTAATTCTTTATAAAAAAAATTATTTTAGTTCAGTTTAAATATTTCATATTGGTATGCAAATTAATTTAATAAATGCACAAGTTTATTTCTCTACTTTCAGGGCAGATTATATAGAGCAAGAAAAGAACATTTCCCATTTGTTTAACCCTTAAACTGCGCATGGCATATATATACGCCATGAGTAACATGTCCCACCGTGCGCATGGCATATATATACACCATAGGGTGCCAGGCACGATTCAAATGGCCCGCGGGTACACGGGGTTCACATTAGCATCCTCAGGGCTCTTGTAAACAGACGCCATTTAAAAAAAAAATCGTGGGCAATATTCTCCAGTGTGAGAGGCACAGTACTGTTGGAGCAACCAAGGCTGGCGCACGCAGCATAAGCGAACAGCATTGCTGTTCAGCTTGTGGCCACAGCATCGCCGAAAAATGTCAAAATAAATATATAACTGCTATTATTTAGTGATGACAATATTACAGAGGACCCCTGACTGTGATAAAAATGACCAGGATTGTGATAATAGCAGCATTGTTGTGATAATTAGCTCTGTGGGAGGAGTGATGCTGAGGGACAGAGGGAGATAGCATCGTTTACTGACTGTGTGGTCACCTGTTATTGTCTGCATTCACCATACCAGCTCAGTGGTTCTCTATGGTGAACACAAATATAGATACTTCTATATAATGTGTGTATTAGTGTAATAACAGCAAAAGGATTATGTTGGGAGGAGCCATTTGGGTGACGGAGGTGACGTCGTCTGCATGATTTGTCTGGCTGTCTAGAGGGTGGCCACTATGCTCTTTGGGCACTCTACAAGCTTAGGTGTACAGTTACAGTGTATACAATATGTAGATACTTATATATAATATGTGTATATAGTGTAATAACACTGCAAACAGTATTGTTGGGGGAGAAAGTTTAGTGCGTGTGACCTTAAATGAGTGAGGGAGCCACCAGCTGACTGTTAGAAGACTCTTAGTGCCTGAACTGACTATATCAGCTTAGTTGTACATTTGTGTTGAACAAAACATGTAGATACTTATATATAATGTCTGTATATAGTGTAATAAAGTATAAAACAGGATGGTGGGAGGAGAACGTGGGCGAGTGAGGCATTGTTGAGGGAGTGAGTGGCAACGAGTGGCTGGCTGATGTGTGGTGGTCACTCCTCGTTGCTTTTCAACTCACAATACCAACTTAGTGGTGCGTTATGGTGAACAAAACATTCAGATACTTATATATTACCTGTGTATAGAGTGTAATAACAGCAAAACTATTTGTTTATTGTTTTATGAACATAATAATTAAATCACTAATATGCACACCATACTTTTGAGTATAGCGATGATTCACCTCTTTTATTTTATAAATATATCACACTACACACTATTGAATAATATTACTGCAAAAAGACTAAAAAAAATCAGACACATTGAAATAATTAGGTGATAATATCTTTGTAGCAACTCTCACCTGTCAGCGCAGGTGACGCTGACCGACTCTGACGACTGCTCTGTCAACGCCCACTTGCCAGACTTCCTCAGTCAATTGCGCCCAAAATATGTCACCTATGATTTATTTGTTATTTTTCCCGTGCTCAGTGAACACAAATTAACATTTTTAGAAGACGAAATAATTTTTTAAGAATTTTTTTTTCTTGCGCACAGGGGTGTAAATCTCCTCAGGACCCCTTAGCAGCCTAAGGGTTAAAATTTCAATGTTTATGGTGCACACTTCCCCAGAACCTCATGAAGTGACCCAGGTGTAGACAGAGCAGTGAAAATCCATTTTAATATTTTTTGTTCAACTCTGTATTATTTTGTTTAGCCTTGAATCTATCAGACAAACGTTACTGAGACAAAGTCCAAATCAAGGATGGCCCTGTTGAATGACAGGGCTTAGAGGCAGCGAAAGATTGAAACCCCCCAAAAAAGTCAACCACTGAAGCTGAGAGCACTTATGTCCAGCCAGGCACATACCACATGGTCTCACTGCCAAAAAAATATCCAATCACCTGAAGAAGCAGTATATTACACAGAGAGATCCCAGTAATGTGATGTATCAGTAAGAAAATTCGTTGGAACCGTGATGAGGATTCGAACATATGCAAATCCACATCACTTTGCACGTGTGTCTGGAAATACCCAACACATAGGTTCGAATCCTCATCACGGCTCCAACGGATTTTCTCTTTAAGCAGTAGATTGCCTTCAGCCAAAACATGACCGAGAGGATAAACCACAAACCATGCAGGCAAAGTTCTGGTGCCCCAGTAGATACTCAAGATCCTGACAACATAGCAGGTGTCTCCCAAGGGCGACATTTAATGGCTTTCCACAGTACTAGTTCATCAAATGTAGCCCGGCTTGACTTCACTGTTAGCTCCCCAAAAGGAAGCAGAATCTCACAGTAGGAAACAACTCAGGCTCAGAAAAAAGACTGGACATTTGCACAAATAATTAATGAATACATATAGTGTAAAGTAAATAAACAATAACAATAAACTATTAAAAATATAATTTAACAACATACAGCAGTGCCAGTCATGAGAGCAATTTCCTTCAGTTTCTCAAACACCCCTCGGACAGTCAGGTTGGCAGGTTGGAACATGACCCTCTGGTTGGATCTTGACTGCTCGGCTACAATTCCTAAATCTCCCTTTTGTTCTGCATCGAGTTTTATCTTCTCCACACTTCTTCCCGATGACTGAGCTATGGCCCGCATCAATATTGTCTCTCCTATGCCCAATTCAATGCCTAAAGTGATATAAAAGATCGATACATTGCTAGGATTCCATATTTAAAATGAAGTAAAGATTAGGAATATTTATTATATATTACAATATGTCAAAATCAGAACAATTTTAAGACATACAGGCCTTAATGCAATTTCTATTGATATATGGAAATTAATCAAAGTAAATTTGAGAATTTTAGATGGGATGAATTTCTTACAAAATTTAAGTACAAACACAGGGGTACCAATAACATTACAGATGTGTAGCAATTAACAAGGCTATGACAGCATGTGGAACACAAGAAATACTGTAATTACCTTCAAATGATGGAGCCACTTTGTTGAGACACAGGTACACACAGTGCAAGAGATCATCTGGCGTTAATACAATCACAGAGCGAAAGAAATTAGCCAGAATTTCAATAGTTTTGAGTCGGCCACTAGTGTTCTCAATGAGCTCCATGGTCTTCGCTAGAGCCAGATATGGTACCCTGCAAAATTGAAGAATAATAAGCTGACAATTATTCAGACAAGAGCAAAATGTTTATGAAAAAAGCATTTGCCCTTACAATTTAGAACTAAATAGGTAATTTTTTGCAAGCTATCTATGCTCTGGATTTCTGGTTCAGGAACCTATCATGAGCCAGTCATGATTAAACAACTTAAACTTTGTACTAAAACAATAAAACAGCAGTAACAAGTACAGAAAACAGCCACGGCATACTATTAAGTTTCTGCCCACAACCCTTATAAACCATGGGAAACCACGGGTTGGCTCAACCCAGTGACCAACACTCAAAATATACCCACATCATTCCAAGAGTGAAGCCTGTTATGAGATGGCCACAAGGAGCCCTTTGGTGGCACCACCAAACTGGGTGTGCCAACCCATCCATAACAGTAAAGAAGCCGAGAACACTAACAGATATGCATGAGAAACTGGTTTATCATTCACGCCACCACAAACCAGAGTCCAAAAGCAATGAAAAGAAAACCCACTCCCTTGAAAAGAAGGATACAATACTGTACATGAATTTTAGCTGGTAGATTGATTGTTTCAACCAGCAGAAAGGATTCCCTCACTACACCCAGAACCTACTGAACCTCCAACCCAACAGGGTAAGAATGAGAAGGGTAAGCAGCATAACAAAAGAATCCAACCATACTCCTGAAATTGATTTAACAAAGAGGGCCAGCAGAGAGATGTAGAGGAAAAATCTGTTTTTTTTTTAATTAACAATCTTAGGTATGCACAGCAATGTGATGCTACCTAATTCTATAGGAAAGGTTACAAAGCATAGATCAAAAACTAGTTATAAGTTCATCTAATATCTCCATTTCACAGGATGGTTAGTCATACATGACATCAGGAGAGATCTGGCTATTACACCCTGAAGGAACAGGATAAACAGCTTAGCCACAGCAAAAGGCAGATGAAGTAGACAAACAAACAGTCAACCTGTCAAGTTTAGGTCAATCGGAACATAGTTTAGAGAAGAAATCCTGGCAAACAAATTTGCAATTATATTACCAGGTAAGTTTATGCCTGAAGTTCTCAGGAACAAGCAACTGCACCAAATGGGAACCAAAAAATGGGACTTGGACCAGGCCACATCAAGAGAGAAAATAGCATCAAATTCAAGAAATGAAAATATTCACCCACCAAAACCAGAAGAGATGAGAATCCTTTTTCCACTGTAAACCATAAGACCAATAAAACAGAAGCCATCTACCCACTGAAAAGGGATGACTATCATTCATCTAAGAGGAAGCAGGGACCTAGAACTAAAGTCCAAGAGATAGATAATTAACCACATTCAAGAATAACAGGATTAGGGACAAAATTTACAAAAGACAGAGACCCATCCCTCAAACGAAAAATATGCAATTCCAGAACAGAAACCAAAAGAGGTGCCGTAAATTCAATGGACAGGAAATACAAAATATGGCAAGACTTAGCTTACTTTTCCTGTGCCTTCCAAAAAGCATCCTTGATTGGGTGATATTTCTCCTTTTTTGGGTTATAGCTGCCACCCAAATCACCTGCTCCAGAAACTTTAGGAGCAAAAGGATTTATTAAAGGCTTCTTCTCTCGAGGATCTGAGGAGTCGCTCTCTGGTGGTGAATCCTTCTTTTGGGATTTATCTTTCTTCTGTGGAGAAGAACAGTGTTCTTCTTCTGTAGTGTCTCCCTCATCTAAACAACTCTCTGAGTCTTGGGATGAGCTGTTCTGTGTCACTTTCTCAGGTGAACGAGTGGATTTCTTGGGAGACACTGATGTAGCTGAGGGCTTCCTAGTTGTTTTTGCTGTATTGTATAGAAAATACACCCATATAACACAAGCCATATAATCATTTTAATAAAATACCAGAAGCCAATGTATTTTACAGCTTTTTAAATTACTAAAAACTAAATAATGGTAGAGTACTGTATATAAAGTACAGCACTACAAACCCAAGAGAAAAAATAGGTAACAATTTTCCCATTGTTGACTTTCTTTCACTGAAACATTAAGACTTAATATGTACAACAACAAAGGTACTGCATAAGCTTCATTATTTAATTTTGACTGAAATTGGAATACTGTATATCTGTTAAGAGTATTGAGCTCAAAGCTTACCTTAGATACTTATAAAGAGAGTAACAAACATTGGACCAAGTACAATGACAAATGTATAATTCACACTTAAACAAACACTAATGTGGGCCAAGCATAATTTATCCATTAAGTACATAGAATATGGTAACTCTTCTATCTTGACTTGCACTGTGAATATTTTTATAATTATTGAGGCAGTCTTTGGAGTATGTAATTATAAGAGTAATCAGATTTCCATAAAAATACTTCATTAATAATGTTTTCTAAAATAAATATAACAAATAATTAGTTTTCCAAACAGTAATGCCTGCAATCTGAAAAAAACAGCATTGAATGTAATTAAATGCCATTTTCCAGGTGAGACCCGGAGGCTCCCCGGAGCCATCCAGGTTGATATGAATGTATTAGACCCTGGCATCAGTCAAAGCAAATGGAGTTCTAGGCTTACCAGGGACCATGAACCAGAACCTGGACCCCCTTCAGAGAGGCACGAGAAGCAATGTCCTATAGAAACCCTCGTGTGGTTGGAAGCACTGGTACTGGAAAAATAGGCAGATGGATCTACAATTTTCTGACTAATAGAACTCAATGTGTAATAGTCAAAAAAATAAAATCTGGTCCATCAACCGTGAAAAACTCAGTCTCCCAGGGTACTGTGCTTGCTCCAATACTTTTTCTCATCCTCATACCGGACATAGTATTGTTCCCCGGCACATAGAGAGGGACACAACCTATAGCACTGTATCTTCCTTTGCAGATGACACTAGGATTTTTATGAGAGTAGGCAACATAGAGGACACAGCAAACCTCCAATCAGATGTAAATCAGGTCTTTCTATGGGCTACAGAAAATATGATATTTAACGAAGATAAATTCCAGCTCCTACGCTATGGAGAAAATTAAAATATAAAAACAGAAACCACGTACAAAACTCTGTCAAATCCTAACAGAATGAAAAGGCAATGTAAAGGATTTGTGTGTACTCATGTTGGAAGACCTTACCTTTAAAGAACACAATAAAGTAGCCGTCACAACTGCAAGAAAAATGACAGGTTGGATAACAAAAACCTTTCACATCGGAGATCCTATACCGATGATGATACTTTTCAAGACGCTTGTGCTCTCTAGAGTGGAATACCGCTGCACAATTACACCTTTCAAAGCTGGAGAAATTGCTGACCTGGAGTGTGTGCAGAGATCCTTTACTGCTAGAATCCACTCAGTAAAACATCTAAACTATTGGGACTAACTAAAGAGCCTAAATCTGTATTCTCTTGAGCACAGGCGGGAGATACCTAATAATTTACAAGTGGAAAATAGTAGAGGGGCTGTTCCCAAACCTGCACACAGAATTAACATACTACGAAACCAGAGGGCATGGCAGGATGTGCAGAATAACTCCGTTGAAAAGCAGAGGTGCAGTAGGTACTCTTGAGAGAGAACGCTATCAACATCAGAGGCCCGAGGCTGTTCAACACACTTCCACTACACATAAGGGCATAACTGGCCAACCCCTCACAGTGTTCGAGAGAGAACGTGACAAACACCTCCAAAGGTTACCTGATCAACCAGGCTGTGACTCATACGTCAGGCTGCGAGCAGCCGCAGCCAACAGCCTGGTTGACCAGTCCAGCAACGTGGAAGCCTGGTCGACAACTGGGCCGCGGGGTCGCTGACCCCCGAAATCATTTCAAGGTAACCTCAAGGTTGTTCCTCATGCTTCTCTGAGGGAGCCAGATTCTGGCTCGTGGTCCCCGGTAGGCCTAGATGTCAGGGTCTAATACATTCATATCAGCCCGGATAGCCCCGGGGAGCTGAAGGGGGCTCCCCCCCCAGAAAAGTACTTGGTGCACATAATAATAATTTATTGTCAGGTGATTATACCAGCCTCTATTAAGAAGTGTCAATACTTAATAAAAAATTGCTATATATTGCATGCCCTGCTTAATACTGTATAGTACAGTCAAAACCAACAAAGTAGTGATGTGCACATAATGATGCTTACTGAAAAAACTGTGTATGGCTGTTGCCTTGGGTCTGCTGGAGGTGGCAGTAGGTTTGTTCAGCACCTTGCTACTGCTATCACATTCATCAATGCAATCAACCTCCATTGGCTCTTCTGAATCATCTGAATTCTCCTTTTTGATTTCATCTTTCAAACTTTCTACCTTTTCATTTTCTGACTTTACATCATCTTCACTGCTGTCTTTGCTTGACATGCTACTGGTTCCATCTTCTCCTTTCAATTTCTTCACCAAACTTTTCTGCTTGCTCTCAAGGCTGTCACTCTTGCGCTTCAGTTGTTTGCGAGCTACAAAATAAAGGGTTATACTTAAAATCATCTCAACAGGTTTTGCCTTCAGTTTTACAAATTATTCCAAATGAAGCCTTCCATTGTTATAACACTTGTGGTGGACTGGGTTCAGTTCGAGTGGGACTGCAACATTCATGCATGTACATACATGCACTCAAGCTTGCTTTACACAATACCTGCCTACCAATCTGCACACACAATACATGCAAGAATAAAAATACTGTACACAAAGTATTTAACACCAGGGATTACATTATAAAACAAATTATTGACATCAATTGATATTAGGGTAATAAAATAAAAATGTCATCAGTAGTTAGGAGCAAGACTTTTCCTCTGAAAACTTCCATTCCTTAATGGAGTAGACTCCCTTAAGACATTTCAGTTCACTTTAGGAAAAGTGATCGACTGACTCCTAAACTCTCAGAGTGGCTTTATTTAATATGCAACCCCTGTACAGTACCTTCAAATGTACCTCTGTATTATGTTTTCTTGTATACATATTTTAGAAATAAAATAATATTAACATTATTATTATAGAAAGGGAAAGATTAGAAACCAATTAATAAAGATAAAATATTATGTTAAAAGTCAATGTGGATATAGAGAAATATGAGAATCATTTAATAGCACTGCAACTTGAGTGTGGTCAAAGAAATTAGTAATTAACTTTTGACAGACTGCTACCCTCTACTATCCATAATTGTATCAATATTGACAAACATACAGCACAAAACACACAGTTTTGATTTAAGTTTTTAAAGTTTTAAAGTTAAAGTTTTGTTTGTCTATAATTTCCTATATGGATGGGGCTTATGTAATACAATACCTACACGATCTAAATATCCTGTACAGGTATTCTGATATATTAACCATTATATCAAACTAACCAGTTTTTCGGAGGGGCGGGACAGTTTCTGGAGTAAAGCCAGGAGAACTGCTCTGTGATGAGGTGGATGGTTTGCACGGAGTGGAAAAGGAGTCTGCTTCAACAATCATTTTATCTTCTTCACCTTCCCTTTTGTCTTTCTCTGGGGTGTCATCATCATTTTTATCTTTTTTTGGGGTGCCATCTTCATTTTTATCTTTCTTTGGGGTACCCTCTTTATTTTTATTCTTCTTTGGGGTGACATCTTCATTTTTATCCTTCTTTGGGGTGTCATCTTCATTTTTATCCTTCTTTGGGGTGCCATCTTCATTTTTATCCTTCTTTGGGGTGTCATCTTCATTTTTATCCTTCTTTGGGGTACCATCTTCATTTTTATCCTTCTTTGGGGTGCCATCTTCATTTTTGCCTTTCTTTTGGGTGCGATCATCTTTTTTGCCTTTCCTCAAGGAGTCATCATTTTTACCTTTCTTAGGGGTCCCATCATCATTTTTGCCTTTCTTTGTTCTGCCAACATTCTTGCCTTTCTTTGGGGTGTCAACTATTTCATCATGTGTTTTGTCTTCAATATTCCCATCTTCTCCATCACCTGTCTCCATTGTTTCATCAAGTTCCTCTACCTTAGCTGTCTTCTCTGTAGTTGTTGATGTCTCTTCCTCATTTGAGTCTGGAGACGCACACACTTCTTCGTGGTCATCATCATCTGTTGTTTTCAATACTTTCTTCACATTATCCTCCTCCTCTTCAACTGCATCTGTACCTTTCTTATTTTTGGATAGTGAGCTCCCTTCCTTTTTTGATATAGTTTTTTTAACTTCTTTTGTTATTTTGTCCTTCTTTGTTGCTGGGCTTTTTTTAGACTTAAGATCTTCTTTGTCCTTTTTTTTCTGTTTTGTGTTAATCTCTTTCTTTGCACTGGGGTTAATGGTGGGCTTTTTCTTAGTCTGAGACTTCTTGCTCCTTTCCTCCGCCTTACTCAGTGTTTGCTGTGCGCTGTCTTTTGTTTTATTTTCCTTCTCGTCATCAGACTTATGTGGAGAACTGAAGTTAGAAAATCACATTACAGTAATTTCATCAACAAGAGTAATTAACAAGCAATAATCATCAACAAGTAATCAACATTCATTACATTATATAAAATGACATCCCTAACTTTTAGCTACAGAACACGGTAGCTCAAATTGATTTTCTTACTAACAAGATCCAAATTCCTTATGATTTCTCATTCCATACAACCCTTTCACTTCCAATAATCATCACTTTTTCACCTAGTGCTCCCTGTGTGCAAGTTCCTCTCTCTCTAATTATTTTGTTAAGTGCATCTGTCACCGCTAACTTTAACATGCATACCTCGTAGAGGGTTCCTGCTCCTCCTCTTCACTGTCGCTCTCAATTACCCGTGCCTTGTGACGTGGCTTTTTCTTGATGGGGGAATCTTGAGCCTCAGTGGAGTTTTCCCTGCGTAGTTAAAAAAAAGTTTGTTAGTTTCTTGTTTCAATGATCTGCTTCTTCCAAAAGCTTCCCTTGCCTGAAAGGTCAGCAATAACTAGAAAACTGCTGTGATTTATCCATCTAAATTACCCAACGTAAATGTATAAGTAGTTATAAATTACAGCATTACTTAAATTCCAGAGCCAGCTATCACACATTAAATTTATGACTTTCTTAAAAAAAAAATTTAAGAATCTATTAGAATACAGAACTGAACTTAAAGATCAATTAGGCTAACCATCATAGTGCCCAGTTGCCTGAAGAACAAAAACCATAAATACTAACTTTCCATTTTTATTCCCATTAGAACTTCCCACGGATGTTGCTCCATCTGGCTTTTTTGCCTTTGGGGCAGAGAAGAATGATCTGTTAGAGATAAAAAGTAGCATTACAAGAACAATGTTAACAAAAATATCATTAATATATACAATATCATTAAAAATATAAAAAAATATCATGTTAGCAAAAATAGCATTACTTCAGGATTGAATAATTAGCATTATCATCATACTGTGGCACATTAACCTCACAAAAAATGCTGCCTTCCAAAACTTATTAAAAATAAATAAAATAAGAAGACTAATGTATAATTTTTATACTGTATTATACATATTATGTACTGTACAGTAGTATAATATCTTAATCTGGTTCTTCCATCTTCTAAGAACTAAGGAACCTACAGTAAGCAGGTATTTATTTACAGAAAATATATATTATTATATATGTTTTACATAGCATATATTACATAGTAGGGGTCTATGTAATCGGTTTACATCTGAGGGTCCCTCAGTTCATCCCTTATATTAGGACACAAGCATCTCGACAATGTTTCACCCACTGTCTCTGTTTACCTAGCAGAAAATAGGAGCCTATGAGTGAGGCAGCTGTTGTGGGTTGCAGCCTGGAGAAGGTCAGTAGTTGGCCTAAGCTAGGGCGAACTTAATAAGCCTAACATACTTCTTACCCCCAACTATGAAAAAAATGTTCTTGAGATTTAAAATAAGAAATATTTTAACACTTTCGCTCGGGGATGACGCAGCATTGCGTCATCCGTTTACTGGCGGTAATGCCGGGGATGACGCAGCGTTGCGTCATCCACTTTAAAAATTCGCCAAAAATCAGGTTTTTATCCAATTTTTTGGGGACTGGTTTTAAAATGTGCGCCGATGTCTTCCCATTTTCTTTGTTGAGCCTCGTCGCCCTCAGGCTGCTTGGCACACGCCGTGGGCCCATTGTCTTTGCTCCACTGTTGTGACCAATGTCGCTTCCCCTCGCATCTCAAACGTGTGAACATTTCGGCTATTTTCCGTGGCTATATTTCTTACTGCGGCTTTAGAAACTATCTACGCTTACTCCACGATGGATAGTAATCATGAACAAGGCCCTTCCAGGAAGAAAATTGCGAAAGAAAGGCTTGAAAAGGGTAGGAATTGGGAGTGTAGCAGGAAGGCCTCTGAGCACTCACTCACGGCTAACACGTGGCCCGTCTTCAACTCGTCGGCGGTTGGAGCGTGACCAGGTTTTTTTTTTTTATAGGCTAATGTTCCTCTAGAGAATTTTATTACGAACCCATTGAGACCAAAATGAAAGACCTAGGACAAAAATTGAGGTGACCAGAGTGAAAATAGTGAAAACATTTTATCCCGTTTGCGCGCTCCCGGGTAACTCGTTCGCACTTTCTCTGTTTGCTGCGGGTAATTAGCCGGGCTTTTGGAGTTTATATGCATTTAGTGCTGTAGAGAATTTTATTGCGAACACAATGATACCAAATTTAATCTCGTAGAAGGAGAATTGAGGTGACAAAGTTGAAGAGAGTATACACTTTTCGGAATTAACGCGCGCTTCCGTGACACTCTGGGGCCCATATCGCCCTGTCGAGGGGTGGCGCGCGGGGTGAGCGAAAGTGTTAAACTACAGGGTATGTACAGTATTTTTAATTTATAAGTATTTTATTCTGCTTTTACTGTATCATAACCTGCATTGTTCAAGTAAGTGTTGCTGTGGTGTTGGTAGATTTACTGCAACACCATCGCACACCATCCAGGTGTTTCCCCTGTGTGAGTCCAATCTCACCTCTCATTACTCAAGTATTTTCACCAATTTTTCTTTGGATATATCATTATTTGTGAGTTGAAAATATGTTGTATGGCAAGAGTGCCTCAGGAAAGGGTAAGATGAACTTCCTTACAGTGGATAAAGTCATTTGAGAAACTTGATGGTGGCTCGGGATGAATGCCACTTGCCGATGAGTATGACAAAACTAAAGTTTTGTCATACATCATAATTGCCATAAAAAATTATGACATCATAATATGTCATAATTTGTCATTTTGTTATAAAAAAACAGTATTTTTTTTTACATAAAATATACACTACTAGAATAGTATACAAGAAAGTCCAGGCAAAAAAATGAAATAACTTTTTGAAAGAATAAAAATTAAAACAAGAAAACAATGCAAATGATTGTTGGCCCCGGATGAACAGTCCTAGCATTAATTCTCCTGGCTGCCACCAGGTGTCACCCACCTGAACATCTGCACATTGATCCCCCACCTCAAGATACCCATCACTCAACTCCCAGAGCAACCTCATATCCGGTCTCAAAAAGTTCAATATTGTTCAGTCAATATCCAGCATCTCTATCACTCCCCAGGCCCAAAACCTTACTCTTGTCACCACCAAACTGCTCATCTCCACCACGCGACCGTTTAAAATCCCATCAAAGTCGTCCAGCAAATTGGGGTCCCAGCAGCAGTCGTGCGTGTTTTCGACGCACAATCAAGAATTCCGAGTTTGAATGTTTGAATCCAAGGCGGGATAGAAAAGAGTGGGCACATTTCTTTTCACCAACTGCCACTGTTCACCAAGTAGTGTGTAGGTACTCAGGAGTTATGAGCTTGTTGTGGGGTTACATCCTGGGCAGGGTCAGTAATTTGACCTTGGTAATGGGGGGGGGGGGCTCAATAAAAACCTACTGTGTATGAATACACTTCCTGTCCCCAACAACATAATGATTATTATAAATATAGTTCTTCTCAAAACTCACCTTCTGCAAATCTATCAATATTGCTGCTTAATTCTGTTGCTAAATCGTCCACATATAAGGGCGATTGGTACATGCCCCAAAACGAACTTCGCCTTATTAATGCCTAGCCTGTTACCCCACCCCCTTCCCCTTTGCCCACTTAAATATATTTCATCTCTGGATATGGCCAGCAATTAGTGATCATAAAGTTATTAATTATAGGATTTCGTTTATAATCATAGACACATTTATTGTTCCGAGAGTTATGCACCCAGATTTCTGAATATATTGTTCTGAATTGACTGGATAAATGGCTCTGTAAACAAATTTATGCCTACATATAATACACCAATATCTGTAGAGGTCATAGGTCAAATTTAATTAACAGTAATGAAATACAGTATCAAGTTGAGAAGGATTCTCACAAGTTTTCTATACATGTTTCGTTTATAAATCCAAGACTCCCGCTAATTCTTGACCTGACTTTGATTGTTACAAGGCTCTTGTACTACACCCTGACGGTGCCATGACCACCACCAACCCAACACAGGAGAAGCAACATGAAGATACAACACTTACAATATCGTCTTTTGTACCATCGTCGCCAAGAGCCGCCCTCAAGCCTCTCTTTTCCCGCGAAATATGATAAACAAACTGGCGGCGCCATCTGTTGCCAGCCTCGCCAACCTTCACTTTTCCAGAAGCAAACATCCCTGGCGACTTATATTCATGCGAGGCGAAAATTATATAAGATACCGCGGGATGAATGAAGTAACATGAAATAAAATAAAATAAATTGTTTATTCAGGTAAAAGTACATACATACAAGATGAGTTACAAACATATTATTGAATTTCTTGAAAGAGCTAGTACATACAATACACACAGAAATCACATATAGCATGATATATCAAATTAACAAATCCACACAGATAGACAGAGACTACAGGATGACCTGGATAAACTGGAGGAATGGTCTAGAAAATGGCTGCTGAAGTTCAACTCTGGAAAGTGTAAGGTGATGAAATTAGGCGAAGGGAGCAGGAGGCTGAGAGGATTGAGCTACGAGGAAAGGCTAAAGGAGCTGAACCTCACATCCCTGGAAAACAGAAGAGTAAGGGGAGACATGATAACCACCTACAAAATTCTCAGGGGAATTGACAGGGTGGACAAAGACAAACTCTTCAGCACGGGTGGGACACGAACAAGGGGACACAGGTGGAAACTTAGTACCCAGATGAGCCACAGAGACGTTAGAAAGAATTTTTTCAGTGTCAGAGTAGTTAATAAATGGAATGCACTAGGAAGTGATGTGGTGGAGGCTGACTCCATACACAGTTTCAAATGTAGGTATGATAGAGCCCAGTAGGCTCAGGAATCTGTACACCAGTTGATTGACAGTTGAGAGGCGGGACCAAAGAGCCAAAGCTCAACCCCCGCAAGCACAATTAGGTGAGTACAAGGGCCTTGATAAGGGTTTGAACTTACGCACGAGATGTTTCCATACGCGATTTAGTCAACTGTACCACCACATGGTCAAAAGAATTGCAACCTGGAGTGCTAGTGCCCTCATTAGGATCCCGAAGCTTTTCCGAAGCACAACCGGGGTTTCACACAATTCCTCTAGCTGTAGCGAGTACAAACGATATAATGTTACGTACAATTATTGTTTCATATTTATTTAGTAGTCCTGGATACAGCAGTGTCGTAGACGTTGAGACGGAGCTTAGAGCAAAGAGCTGAGTGAGGCCGGAGTCGTTGAGCTCTGTGGGAGAGCGTGGCGGCTCACTTTGGGAATTGTGAGTGTCTGAACTCGGGGAGCGAGAGTGTGGCGGCTCGATGAGGTCGTAGTCTGCTGTCTGCTGTGTGCTCTGTGTCGAAGCTGTACCGTCTTGGGTCGATTAGAACCGCTTACGCCGAGTACTACATTCTTGACTGGAGTTTGTACTGTGCTCCATTCCTCATATCGCTTGCTTATATGGTGATTACACCTCAGCTCCCTCCAACAAGCTGAGAAGAGTATTACCTGTAATTGGGGAAAAGATTGTAGCTTCTGTAATTATTGCTAATTAATTATGCTATTAAGATAATGAGATAATGGAGCGAGTATAAGGATTACTCGCTACAGGACTCCCCCTGCCAGGGAATGGAAGAAAGGCAATACAACAAAAATTACGAGGCTACTGTTCCCTGGGTCGCTGTGGAACATGTAGTCCGGTTCCAAAAGATGCAGGCAGTGTGTGGACAAGCTCGATATAGCAGGAGATAAGAGTTAGTTTAGTTCATTTATTATACACCCCATACCCATCTTGTGGGCGGTAGTGGAAAGGGTTACAGAGGCACATAATGGGCTCAGGGACTGAACCCCACAATTCATTTAGCTAAGCAAGTTACAATCTTGATGAGCTAGTTACAAAATTCAATACACATCATCACATCAACAATGGGTTCGAGATCGACCACAAGTACAGTTTCTAAATTAAGCAACTGACATATGTGGAGAGCTAGTGTCATAATTTTATAACATCATAATAACATAAGAACCCATGAGCACCACACCAGAAATAAATACAGTTTTGATATTCCAAGAGTACGACTTAATCAAACTAGAAATGCTCTACAAATCAAGGGACCCAGAATGTGGAATGACCTTCCCAACCATGTTAAAGACTGTACCTCTCTCAACCAGTTTAAGATAAAAACGAAGCACTACCTAATAAATTCCCTGTAACCTACCTTACCAACTGACATTCGTCAGTTGGTAAGTTAGGTTACAGGGAATTTATGTATTGTCATTTGATTGACATTTTATTGTCAACCCATGTCTGTTGTTTTTTTTTAACAATGCTGTTTGTCGAGCTAATTGTATTTGTGCTGCTTTTTCAGCCATGTTCCCCCCTTTTTTATCTCTATTTTTATTTGTTCTCAACACATTTTGTTCTTTATACTCAATTAGTATTAAGCTTTAGTCATTTTAAGTTGTTCATGCCTGAAACGCTTTGCGTAATAGTGGCTTTAGGCATTGTATGTACTAGCCTTATCTATAAATCCATCATTCTTTGTAAAATCTCTTGTATGTATGTACCTTACCTAAATAAACATTTATTTATTTATTATTTATTTATTATTGATATGTTTGTCCTGCACACCGCCCCCCATCCAGTGGGCAGCGGTGGATAGGTTACAATCATTTAGTTACTACCTACAGTTAGCAAACTGGGAATTTTGTTGATGGCCATATAAATTAAGATTTTCAAAATTTACCTGAAGGCCATTATCTTTCTCTTGTGCTTTCAGCAAGGACAGGACGTCGGCGGCTTGTCAAGGGTCCTCCATTTGTCATGATAATTTTATCCATTTGGATCTTAAACTGCGGAAGTGTTTTGGTACTTACGGCTTCGGTGGGTAGGCAGTTCCATGGGTTTATAACCCTGGGGTTAAAAAGTATCTCCTGTTTTGTCCTACTTTGTTGCTTGTCGAGCTTGAATCCCATACTTCTTATCTGCATTACATCTCATCTTTTGAAGAAGTTGTCTGGATCAGTATTATCCATTTTGTTTAGTATTTTTGAAGAAGTTGTCTGGATCAGTATCATCCAACTTGTTTAGTATTTTAAAATTTTTGACGAGATGAGCCCTATCTTGTCTTTTTGGCAGTGTTGTTAACCCTGTGGCCCTCAACCCTTCCTGTTAAGAGAGTCGACTTAGTTTTGGAATAATTTTTGTTGTCCGGTGTTATATTTTTGCCATATAAGTATTGTTATTAATGATTGTCAAGAGACTCCATACAATGACATTGCCAATAAAACACTGCACTCATTATAGGAGGAAAACGAAACAGCCCAAAATGCAAGATTGATCAATGTGCTTTCTCGAAGAACTCCAACTGCCTGAGCAAGCACATGTTAATGCCTGTAAAGAATCCAGCTCCCTGGAACGAAGAACCATGTAAGATTCAAATATATGAGATACCAACAAAGAGGTCCAGCATGTTATCTCAAAATAAGACATATATCTCGATGATAACAATAATAAGAAGCAGGAAATGAATTAGATCACATCTACTCACAATGATCTGTTAACCCTATTAATGGCAGGGGTAACATACACTGTAATCACAAACAAATGATTAAAAAATGTCTTTCAAAAGTAAAAATGAAGAGATATACAGGTACATGTGAGAGCATGAACAACCTAATGAGTTTTCTTATTGAGGGGTGTTGTACATGCTGCTATGGCAATACACACTATATGTTCATTCACAGGTTAAGTGATGCTGCCTAGTAAACTAACCCTCTAGGGCAAAATTAAAATTAATGCAATAATAATAATAATAATAATAATAATTTATATTAAAAATATACAAAACATCATACAGAACTGTCAGGAGAAAATGCCAAGCCATTATGACTATGTAGCACTTGAAAGGGATCAGTATAAGGAAGGGGATAGGATAGTGGGAGAGGAATGGTGCCCAACCACTTGGACGGTCAGGGGACTGAAAGCCGACTTGAATGAAGCGAGACTCATTCTACCATCCAGCCCAAGTGGTTGGACAGAACATGATACAGTGGTTTATTAATTGTTGTAGAGTATGTACTGTGTATCTAATAAAGTCACTAAGACACAAAACATTATCAAATAAATTCTTGTCTTTCTGCAGTGATATAGGCCACTCATTTGCAAGCCATTATATGTGTCGCTTGCCTCCGGAGACTAGCATCTTTACAGCGGAACTTTATGCTATTCTCTATGCTCTTCGTCTCCTGCTTTCTCGTTGTCAGTCTTCCTTTGTGGTTGTTGTTGACTCTCGTAGTGCCCTCATGGCTCTCGGGTGCTTTAATCCAGTTCATCCAGTAGTTGTCGAGATCCAGCATTGGCTGTTTCTCGTTCACAGTAAATTTAAGTCGGTTGAGTTTTGTTGGGTTCCCAGCCATATTGGCGTGTCTTTAAATGAGCGTGCGGATGCTGCCGCTAAAGAAGCTGTCCGCTCTTGTCCCATCTCTCGTAAAGGCATTCCGTATTCCGACTTTTACCCGGTTATCCATTCCTCAGTCCTTACCCGTTGGCAGGCTTCTTGGTTGTCTGTTACTGGTAACAAGCTACGTACTCTTAAATGTTGTGTTTCCTCGTGGCCGTCCTCCTTCCACCGTAACCGGCGGTGGGAAACAGCTCTGGCGAGGTTGCGTATTTGCAAGCCATAAATACCTGGATATGGTTTCACATTTTCTAGGCTCCATCTCCCTAATCTTAACTATTTACTTTTCTAGGATGCAACCCACAGCAGTTGCCTAACTCTTTAAGTATACATATACCTATTTACTGTTAGGTTAACAATGGCACGATACGTAAGCACTGGCATCTGAGGCCATTGCTTGCTGATTAATGAAGATTAAGCAACCCAAGAGGTGTTACGGGCATGAATATCCCGTAACCATGCTTGGTAAAATCCTGCAGATGCCCACCACTTCAAAAAAGGCTGCAATTGGTTGTGCTGAGATCTTCCAAAAGCAGACATAGCTTGCCAACTTCACTAGAAGAGGCCACAGACAAAGGAGCCACACTTGCTTAGGAAACAGTCTCACCAGAGATCTTCATTTTGCCCTAGGAAGGGAAGGGAAGGGAAGGGCAGAAAAAGGTGTTACAATGAGTGCATTCAAGCAAAATGCTTAGCAAAGAAATCGACAGCCGAATCATCAAGTATCAGCACAAACATTTAAGGCAGATTTGCATTTGCTGACATAAAGGCATAGCTGGAAGAAGAGCTGACAGACAAGGAACTTTATATCTGCTAGGGATTGGAATCCTTAACCTTTAGATCGTGCATATTACCGCGCAATTTGGGGGCCTGGTAGCGAAAAATATTTGAAATATGCAAAAACAACTTAAAAATGTTAAACAAATCTCCAACTTATTGGCTTCAGTGTCGTGAAACTTCCACGACACAACTTTTCAATATGAGATGCAAGCACCTGTCTGACGCTCAAAGAGGAAGAATATTAGTAAGCAGTGTTCACAAAATGGGTATGCAGTTGGTGCCTTTATATCCTTGCTGAGTAATAAATAACACAAATAATAATGAATATGTTAATATGCTCTATTTTGTTATATATCATATAAATACATTGTCCAATGTTAATATGTTACTATGTAATATATGTAATTACATATATGTAATTACTAAAAAACATATAATTATATACTATGTAATTACTATGTTATATATGTTACTTTCATCAATGTCTCAAAAATATTTTTTTTAGTGGAATTTTTTTTTTAAGATTTTAGTTTTTTCTCCTTTGTTTATTATCTGATTTTGTTGTAAGCTTTACATCCTAGAGAATGCATATTTTTCCCTACCTATGTGAAGATAAAATGAAATAAATCGGTCACAGCTCGCAAAACTTGGGACTTTTAATTTTTTGGAGCTGATTTTTTTCTCTGATTTCAAGCTCTATTTTCTTTGTCTCTTTAGGTTGTTTTGATGATTAGGGACCATATTAGGGCTTTTTTACTTATATAAAGTATACCCTAAATATATCCCCTAAATCATTATAATTATTATAATTATCCCTATTTTGTGTTTTTTGGGGTTATTTTCTGGGGGGGGGGAAGGGGGAGCCCCTTCAGCTTCCCAGAGCTATCCAGGCTGAATGGATATGTTCCTTAACTGAGGTATGTCAAGAGGCCTTAACAACCAATCCACACACATGAAATCAAATTAAAGTGGTTGTCTTGGACCCTTACCAAGTCACGACCAGGATAAGGGTCTTGGATGGATCAAAATGTTGTCATTTTCATCTCGTCTTATGTTTGTGGAATGGGTTGTTTCTTATTGTGACATTCTCTGCAAGAGGCCTTAATTAAGGCTTGTTATGGAAGAATGTAAGTACAGTATTTTGTTAATGGGTTCATTAAGGTGATGTGGATCTGCACTCATACTGTTTGTAAAATAAAGCACATACTGTACTTGCTTGCTATTCATCCCAATGCATACATTTGCATTTTATGTAAATTTCACACACATTTTAAAGGTTGTGGTTGTGATGGGAAGCATTGGTACTCAGACGGAAGGCTTAGTGCCTTCAAGTTTGGGAGCGTTTGTATTTATCTCCACAATAAAAAATGAAGATGCTTGCACACAGTGTTGGCTGCCCCTCACATGTGATGTCAGCACTTCAACTGATGAACTTGCAACGTACATACAAAGTTTCATAGGTAAGTGTCTGTTCTGTGTAGATTGATGCCTATTTTTAGTTTTAGTTTAATAGACTAGTTTTTTTTTATCTTTTAGTAAGAGAATATAAGTTCATATCCTTAGTTGTTGATTTTTTTATTTATTAGATTATTAATTTTATTTTATTGTTATTATTATTATTATTATTATTAATTGGCACAGTACTGTAGTACAGTAGTAATCTTGATTTTTTGTTAAACATTCCAGGTTGTTAGAACTACAGAATTACTTGTGTGTGTCAGATTTAAAGTACAATAAGTAAACTTTTTTTTTGTCAGACAAGAACAAGAATTGTGAATCATCAGGCACAGGGAAAAGACGTGGGCGACCAAGGAAGCCTCTTGTTGTGACTGCAGACAGCTCTGGAGAAACATCTAGCAGTATTTTGTACAAGAAACTTAAAATAGAATCCAAAGGTGTGTATATTTGTTTCATTCATCTAACTTAATAATTATTTTGTCAATAATATGGCAGTTTATTAATGCCATAGTTCTCAAAATACAGTAGTACAGTGGAACTTCAATTTGGTTAATCTCCGGTTGGAGAACACGCATTCCATACTGGATTTACTCACCTGATTCGATGAACAAGAGTTCGCTGAAGCAGGGAATATGTGGATTTGCCTAGGATGTTGGGATGGCATTCACAGATGGAGGAAACATTACAAGAAATAGTTGGGGCCTTGGAAAAGCCGCTGAGCATATGTAAATCAAATTCTCTGCTTCTTTTTTTATTTTAAGTTGAAATATTTGTTCAGTAACATACGGCATTTTTCCTTTGAAAATGAGATTTCATGGCTTGGGGATGGGGAAATTTGCTAGATGTAGTTAAATCTTTTTACAGACAGGTTCTCTTGGTTGTTGTCCTTCATATGACAGGTTGAAATTCTCGAGAAGGCATTGTTTTGGAGGTGAAGAGTTTGGGGGTGACACAAATAAAGTGTACAAGTTGATGAAAGGGGATACTAACAAGACATTAAATGTATCAAAACAAAATAGAATATGAAACAGTAGATATAAATTGGATAAGTTAGTATTTAGGCAAGACCTTGGCAAATACTGGTTTAAAAATGGGGTTGTTAATTTTTAGAACAGACTACCAGGTTACATAATAGATGTGGGATCACTCGATTGTTTGAAGCATAAGTGAGACATATATAAGTGAGTTTGGGTGGCTATAAATAGGAGCTGCATCATATGGGCCAATACCACATGCCTTCTGCAGTTCCCTTGATTTTTATGTTCTTATACCATGGTAAGTTCCTTAATAATCAGTTTTGGATTACTGTATTATGAGGGACACAGATAGAATGATAGAGCTTCAGGCTATCATAGTAAAGTCTGGCCTGGGGCTAGGTGCCAAGAATAGGAAAAACTTGAAAGCTGTCTCAGATAATGCTGGTAAGTTTAAGGAGGTTGGTTTCAATATACAAGTCAAGTTTTGTTGTACTATATGAAGCCAAATAAATATTGTATTAGTTCTTGTCTATTGTGATGTTGCTTAGTAATGAAAACATTGTAACTAATTGTGTGTTAACTTAAGAATCTTTAGCATTCGTCATTATATTTTCTTTGTGTTGCTGCTCACCCACCCCATGAAAGTTGGAAATCTGGTAATGATGTATTAGTATAGACATTGTACATGTTAGGAAAAGGAAACGAGAAGGGAATTATCAGCAGAAAGGCTAAGTCATTATGACTACTGTATATAGCACTTAACACGTTAGGAAAAGTACACGGTAAAAAAAGGGAATTCATAACACTAAAGAGGATTATGAAAACATCAAGTGCAAAATAGGATTAGAAGAAAAGATTGGCAGACCACATACCCCTTCTGGCTTTGATATAGAATGAGACATTTGAATTTGGAAATCATGTTGAAATAAAGTGCAGTATGGTATATGTTTTGGGTGAGTACGTTGGAAAGATGTACCCATAGTTTGAACGTGAGGAGAGGATGATGGCTGTAATAACTGGAAAACACTCGGCATCCTAAAAAAAAAATAGAATACTGTACATGTGGAATTTTTTGTTAAGGCCGTTTTTCATGTTTGGATAACATATCACTGGGCATGAGTTTTGTTGAGAGACTTGATAATTCTTGTAGTGAGCAAAACATTATGTGAAAATAAAGATGTCTTCTTGAGCAATGCCTCTCTGTGGTGTCGCCTTGACAAGGTGAGGGGCTCACGTACACCTCCCTGGGACCGGTGAGGGTTGCCTTTGCCCCCTCTCCTGCCCCTCTTTAGGGGGTGTATGTGCAGAAGGGCACCACGTTGGGGCCTTGTGAGCCATCGGACCACCCCACTAGAGGGGTCACCCGTGAGGGGCCGCCCTGAGTGGATGGTTGGGTGTCCAGGCTAGGGCGATAGGGGGAATGGGGTCTTAGATTAATCGGTAAAGTAGGATGCTGGATACTCAGTTTTCTGTCAAACAGGACTCGGCAAGTAACAGTCAACCATATAAAATCTAGTCCAAGCGCAGTTAAAAGCTCTGTATCTCAGGGTACAGTCCTTGCACCGCTGCTTTTCCTTATTCTCATATCAGATATAGACAAAAATACAAGACACAGCTTCATATCATCCTTTGCAGATGACACAAAAATCAGTATGAAAATTACCTCAGCTGAAGACATTGAAAAACTTCAAGCTGATATTAATAAAGTTTTCGACTGGGCATCAGGAAATAACATGATGTTTAACAGATTAACGGTATTCCAGGTACGGTAAAAATAAGGACCTTAAACATAATATAGGGTACAAAACACAATCAAATGTGCCCATAGTAGGAAAACAGCATGTAAAGGATTTGGGAATAATGATGTCTGACGACCTAACGTTTAGGGAGCATAACCAAACAAATATTGCGTCAGCCAGAAAAATGATCGGATGGATTGCGAGAACTTTCAAATCCAGGGATCCCATCACAATGGTTGTACTCTTCAAGTCACTTGTGTTGTCCCGTCTTGAGTACTGCTTAGTACTCACTTTCCCCTTTAGAGCAGGAGAGATTGCTGAAATAGAGGGAATACAGAGAACATATATGGCACGCATAGACGCGATAAAGCACCTAAATTATTGGGATCGTCTGAAAGTCCTCCAAATGTACTCACCCCTCTCAGGAGCAAACAAGGCATGGTACAAATTAGTATGGGAAGGGAGTGCACGAGAGCGGCTGTGGCGGGGACGGCGGTTATCTTGAGATGATTTCGGGGCTTTAGTGTCCCCACGGCCCAGTTCTTGACCAGGCCTTCACCCCCAGAAAGCAGCCCGTGAAAGCTGACTAACTCCCAGGTACCTATTTACTGCTTGGTAACAGGGGGCATCAGGGTGAAAGAAACTCTGCTCATTGTTTCTCGCTGGCTCCCAGGAAGAAACAATGGGCAGAGTTTCTTTCACCCAGATGAAAGTTTCTTCAATGGAATATTCGCTGATATTACACCGATTTCCTTGAACTCCAACTTCTGGTTTCATAGTTTTCTCTCCTTTGTGTCTGTCTTCAGGAGCCGATGCTTGGTGCTCATCCTGGTCGCTTCCGTGGCTATTCTCTTCCCCCCCCCCTAGCTTTTGCTGGGGGCCATAACTCTTCTGCTCTCTTGATTCGATCTGATGTTTCTTTCATCCCCTTACTTTTTCCATCACCTCTCCAATGTTCTGTAGCCTGTGTCTTTGTACCTAAATGGTACACGGTTTATTCCATTTATCTCCCCCAAATGTTCCGCTTTTTTTTTCCAATCTTAAACACCTATTGGACTCCTTGCTGGAGCCTGTGCTCCTGCTGGGTGATTTCAATTGTCGACATACCCTCTGGGGTGATGTTCTGACAAACACCCGGGGTCACCTTCTCGAACTGTTCATCCTCTCTTCTTCCCTGTCTCTTCTGAATTATGGTGAGCCCACTCATTTGGACTCTCGGACTCGCATCCTTTCCACCATTACGTCCGAAACTCCTCTGCCGCAGATCTGGAAGCATATCCGCAAGATAAAGGGTAAGTTCGTTCTCGATGTCTCGCCGGTCCTTCACCTCCGTGGTACTCTTGTGGCGGACCCGTTGCCACAAGTTCGGTCGCCCCAGGTCGCGACCGAACTGGGTTCCCACTTTTCATCTGTTAACTCTGGCACTCATCTTCCTCAATCTTTCCTTCTTCGTAAGCCTGTTCTTGAATCTCGTCCTTTAGATTTCTGCACCCATCTCAGCCTTCCCAATAACGATCCCTTCTCTCTCTCTCTGAACTTCAGTCTGCCCTGGCCCTCTGCAAATCTACAGCAGCGGGCTCAGATGACATTCATTATGAGATGCTTCGCCATCTCACTCCGTGCACGTCTCGGTATTTACCGAGTCTGTATAATCGGGCCTGGGACTCGTAGTTAGTCCCTGAGGACTGGCTTGATAAAGTTGACCTCCCTGTTTGGAAACCAGGGTCTCCTGGGTCATCATCCCCTAAGGACTTCTGCCCTATTGCCCTTATGAGTTGTGTCTGCAAACTCTGAACGTATGGTTAACGTTCACCTGATGTAGTTCTTAGAACATTATCACCACCTCTTCCCTTCTCAATTTGGTTTTCGCAAGTGCCGCAGCACAACAGATGTCCTGATGAACTTGGAGGTCTATATTCGTACTACTTTTGCTGCGAGGATCTCCGTTGTTGCCATCCTTTTTTTACCTGGAAAAGGCTTATGACACCACCTGGAGATATCATATTCCATCCCAACTTCATTCTTTTGGCCTTCATGGTAATCAGACTAGCATCTTCACAGCAGAACTTTATGCTATTCTCTATGCTCTTTGTCTCCTACTTTCTCGTTGTCAATCCTCCTTTGTGGTTGTAGTTGACTCTTGTAGTGCCCTCATGGCTCTAGGGTCCTTTAATCCTGTCCATCCGGTGGTCGTCAAGATTCAACACTGACTGTTTCTTATCTCCAGTAAATTTAAATCCGTAGAGTTTTGTTGGGTTCTCAGCCATATTGGTGTTTTTTTTAAATGAGTGTGTGGATGCTGCTGCTAGAGAAGCTATCCGCTCTTGTTCCATCTCCCATAAAGGTATTCCTTATTCGGGATTTTACCCGGTTATTCATTCCTCCATCCTTGCCCATTGGCAGGGTTGTTGGTCTTCTGTTGTTGGTAACAAACTGCATACTCTTAAGCGTAGTGTGTCCCCGTGGCCTTCCTCCTGCCACCATAACCGGCAGTGGGAAACGGCTCTAGCAAGGTTGCGTATTGGCCATACACGCTTAACTCACGGTCACTTAATGGAGCACCACCCTGCTCCTTATTGTCCAGATTGCATTGTCCCTCTTACAGTTGTGCATATCCTTGTTGAATGTCTGGACTTCCAGGACGAGCGTGTGTCTTGCTTTCCGACCGTCCCTCGCGGTCACTTGTCCCTCGATAGGATTCTTGGTGAATCGGATACTTTTGATATCGTTCGCCTTATGCGTTTCTGTTCTCATATTGACATCCTTGGTGATATTTAGCGCCCTCTGATTATTCCGCATATTTGATGGTGCTACATAGCCTTCCCGGTTTGGTGCCTCCTTTTGATAATTACTTCTTGAGCAATGTTTTTCTGCACGTACTTATCAAATGTTTCTGTTCTTGAACATAGGAAGAGGTTCTTTGAAGATGGCATCTTTAGTGTTAACTTTTTAATGAGTATCTTACAATTTCCTTGTAGCAATGATACTGGGAATTTAGTGTTTTTTAGATTAATGTTAAATATGTATCCCATTGTATTAAAGAATTACTAATTTTTTTTTGTACTATTTTGATGTTACAGATGAATTTGTTCACACCAGAATTAAGAGAGAGAGGAAAATCCCAGTTAAGTTTGATCCCAGTGATGTTTGCAAAACAAAAGCTACAAGCATACCAGCTTCAAAGTTCAATATTAGATCTGAAATTGAGGAAATTGAGAATATTAATGAAAATGTTAGACTTCTTGACTCTGACAGTGATTGGACAGATGAAGAAAGTGCCAATAACAAAATATGTGACACAAATGATAACACAAATGGTATGTGTGAAGTCCCAGATTGTACTAATAATAAGTGTGCAAATATGAAATGCTTTCAGAACAATTGGACAGATAAAGTCATTCATGAAGAATTGGACAAAGAAAAAAAAGGTGAAAGTGAATATACAGTATATGAAAACAAACACAAAATGAATGTTGTGAGTAATAATGCAGATGATAAAGGGAAAGCTTCTTGTATAAATGTTAAAGTGTGTAAGAGAAAGAGAATGCTAAATTACCATGAGAATAAAGGACACTCCAAACGAAAGCATGCAGGTGGTGGGCCATACACTTGTGAACAGTGCCATGTTGATTTTAAACTCATTTCCATTTATAGTAAACATATGTTAAACCATGAAATTGCCGAAGGAAAACACTCCGTTAAATGTAAATTATGTGGTAAAGTTCTTTCATCACATGTCAACTTACGTCGCCACATGATGATTCATACAGGGAAGCCTTTTACATGTGAGATATGTGGAAAAGGATTTACAGGGCGTTACTTGTTACGAGAACATTTGGCTGTAGAACATGATCAGATTTCTTCAAATACACAATCCCCAACAAATCACCAGTGCCGTGAATGTAAGAAATACATGTCTACCAGAACAGCTTTGCAATACCACCAAGCACAGTTACACCCATGTATGAAATGTAATAGGAAATTCTCTTGCAGAACTGGTTTGAGAGAACATGTGCTGCAAGTCCATGATCACGTTAGCGTAACTAAAGGAGGTCGCCTTGTGTGTGTTCAGTGCAATAAATCCTTTAATTATAGACACCATTACCTTAATCATGTAGCTCACCACTCAGACGAAAAAACACACAAGTGTCAAAAATGTAAAAAAGGATTTTTGACTAGTCAAGCACTATATTGTCATACAAAGCAAGTTCATGAAAAGTACAATTATCGTTACCCGTGTGAAACATGTGAAAAAGTGTTCATATGTAATGCAAAATTGGTGGAACATGTAAGAACTCACACTGGAGAGAAGCCATTTGAATGTGGTATATGCAGTGTTGCATTTGCTGCCAAAGCCACTTACAAATCTC